GGAGGGGGGCTAATGTCATGATTTCCACTAACATTTCTTTCCGATTAGGATTCAGCCGGATGACTTCTGGGTTTTCACCAATCCAACCCTGCCCATGCATCTGACGCCGCGGGCAATATGAAATTGCTCAATCAATTTGTTTCCACATTGTTGCCAAGTGCTGTCTGAGCTTCTTCTCTCGCTAGCTGTGTACTGCACATTTCAAATCACTTACCGACCTTGCTGCCTTCTCAACCCCCCAGAACAGACTTTGACTATGCTTACCTCTAATTCCCAAATTATGTTCAGTGAACTACAATCTTCACAATTCTGGAAAGGGCTTTCACTTATAACCAGCTTCGGCCATCAAGCTAAGTTCTCCAGTTTTCTGGGATTACTATCTGTGACGGGAGTAAGTGATTATAGCAATCCCCAGAGTGTAGGTATCCCTTCCCCCAAGCATGAGCCAAGGCTTCAAGAAAGGTGCAAGTAGGTCTGGTTTATTGAGGACTACCTGCCTGGTATTTATGCAAGTGTCCACCAGGTGGACACTCCCCTAGGGGACCTGATGGAACAATGGGACACATATTGGATATTAGCCAATCACAGACAATACAAAACACTCCCACAGTGACATCACAATCCCTCCTCTCTATCCTGGAGATAATTGGGAAGTAATCAAATTATCTCCCAGGACAGAGGCAAGACTCCATTAACCACATGGTTACAAAAAGACATAAAATTACACAATGTTAAAATTACTACATAAAACACATACATGCAACATATCCCCAGATAACTTAAATCTGAGCGCACATTATTACCGAATGGCTCAATCGTCATGGAGCCAAAGTCTTTTCCATAGTCTTTCGTTACACGAATAGGTTCCATGGCATAGCTATCTGGGGTAGAACTACTCACATACTGAAAGTCCCGAAAGCCCCGGCAGAAATACACAAATAAACCTTTCTGCAGGGTAAAATACAGTTATCAGCACAGGGGCCATAGTCGGAAGGCAGGAGGCTAGCCAGTAGTCCCCTCCAGGCACAAGTGGCGAAGGGCACTTCATCACACTATCTAGTTCAGTGATGGCGAACCTATGGCATGCGTGCCACAAGTGGCACGCCGAGCCCCCTCTGTGGGCACGCGGCCACAGGTCGCCGGAGGGAGGGTGCGCTCCGCCGGCGCATACATAAGGCGGCACAAGTGGCCGCCTTAGGGTGCACCGGCCCGGCCAGCGCAAAACCGGAGTGACCGGCAGGAGGTGAGCGCATAGCACTCTGTCTAGGAACTTATGTTTCCTGTACCCGGGCGGACAAAAATGAAGTGCTCACAGAGAGAGCACTTCCTGTCCGGCTGGGTACAGGAAACTAAGCTCCACGGTCATGCTACAAGGTAGGAGATCAAGGACAAGTGGGGGGGGGGAAAGAAAACTAAGGGAGGGATGGGGGGTAGAAAGAAAAATTGAAGGGGAATACAACTGAGGGGAGAGATGGGGAGGGGGGGGGAAGAAAACTGAGGGAGAGATGGAGGGGAAGAAAACTGAGGAGAGATGGAGGGTAGAAAGCAATATTGAAGGGGAATAAACTGAGGGGAGATGGGAAGGAGGAAGAAACTGAGGGAGAGATGGGGTAGAAAGAAAAATTGAAGGGGAATAAAACTGGAGGGAGAGATGGGAGGGGAAGAAACTGAGGGGAGAGATGGGGAAGAAAACTGGAGGGAGAGATGGGGGGGAAAACTGAGGGAGAGATGGGGGGGTAGAAAGAAAATTGAAAGGGAAATGAAACTGAGGGAGAGATGGAGGGGGAAGAAACTGAGGGAGAGGATGGGGAAGAAAACTGGAGGGAGAGATGGGAGGGGGGGAGAAAACCGAGGAGAGATGGGGAAGAAAAACTGAGGGAGACATGGGGGAAGAAAACTGAGGGAGAGATGGGGGGGTAGAAAGAAAATTGAAAGGGGAATAAAACTGAGGGAGAGATGGGAGGGGGGAAGAAAACTGAGGGAGAGATGGGGAGGAAGAAAACTGAGGGAGAGATGGGGGGTAGAAAGAAAATTGAAGGGGGAATAAAACTGAGGGAGAGATGGGAGGGGGGAAGAAAACTGAGGGAGAGATGGGGGGAACTGAGGGAGGTATGGGGGGAGAAAACCGAGGGAGGGATGGGGGGAAAGAAAACAGTGGGGGGGGGACATACACACAGCACCCCTGCCCCACACATATCACAATACATATCACCCCACACAAAGACACACACACATCACCCCACACACCCCCACACACACCACCCCACATCACCCCCCACACACACACACCACCCCACACACATCACACCACCCCACACACATCACCCCACCCACATCACCCCCCACACACACACATCACCCCACACACAAACACATACACTGTACCCCTCAATGCAGTGTGTGTACACTCAGCAGTCTGTGTGTGTGTACACTCAGCAGTCTGTCTGTGTGTACACTCAGCAGTCTGTCTGTGTGTGTACACTCAGCAGTCTGTCTGTGTGTGTACACTCAGCAGACTGTCTGAGTGTATACACTCAGCAGTCTGTCTGTGTGTATTTAGGAGTCTGTGTGTGTGTATTTAGCAGTCTGTGTGTGTGTGTATTTAGCAGTCTGTGTGTGTGTACTCGGCAGTCTGTGTGTGTGTGTGTGTGTGTGTGTATTTAGCAGTCTGTGTGTGTATTTAGCAGACTGTGTACTCAGCAGTCTGTGTGTGTATTCAGCAGTCTGCTAAATAAAGACAGACTGCTAAGTACACAGACAGACTGCTAAATACACATACAGACAGACTGCCGAGCACACACACAAACTGCTTAATACACACACAGAGATGTTAATTAGTTCGGACAACTGTATGAGTTGTTTTTTTCTAAACTTAAACCTCAGTATTTAGGTTTAATTGCCGTTTTGGCACTTTGAGGAAAAAAAAATTGGCATGTATTACGGTTTGGGCACTCGGGCTCAAAAAGGTTCGCCATCACTGCCTTAGGGCCTTTGTCAAGCTACTGAAGCACATACAAAACTCACTATATATAGGTGTATGTAGCAATTAACAAGTGAAAAAACACGTGATATAATAATTACTTAATAACATCATCAATCAGTAATAATAAAAACATTAACAAAACATAATTGTCTCTTCAATCATCATGTCTCATATTAGGGGTGTCAGAAAACACAGGATAACTCAGCCAATAAGACCTCAATTCATTAATCATTTGATTTAATTATTTAATTATAAACAAGTTGTACCAAATAACCTCTAATAAAATAAGGCAATTTAACAACAATTGGAAGCACCAAAGCAAAGCTAGGTACTTACATTTCCGGGTATAATCATGTGGATTCAATCATGTGACCATATATAGCTTATCAGACGCAACTCCCAGCGTCGGTCACATGATCAGGTTCAGCCGAATCACCATAGCGCAATGACGCGTACGCGCAACAAGATAAAACCATACTGCGCACGCGCCACATCGCGCATGCACAATATGGCACACCTAAAAAAAAAAAAACCCCCCCCCACAGAACCACATATATAATGCGCATGCGCAACACAGCACAACCGCAATAAATATATCGGCTAAACCAAAAAGATTTTAAGTTAATATTTACCCAGTGTCTCATAAAGAGATACAAATTATAAAGTACTATTAGATGTTAATATTAATGTTTGTTAATAAATAAAATTACAAAGAGGCTCAATGTCAATATAATTGACACTAATTTTGTTATTAAACAAATTACAAACAAGCTGATTTAAATCCTGCTTTAACATGACTTAAACATAAATTATTTTTTTTTAGGAGTTAATCAATTTAATCAACCCCTCTGTTCCTGTGTGTCCAACTTGTCTGGTTAAAACTACATGTCTGTTCGTCCACCCATTGTAAAGCGCTGCGGAATTTGACGGCGCTCTATAAATATCATAATAATAATAATAATAATAATATAGAACCATAAAGTAATATTACCAACCATTATATGTGATAGTCTATATTTATATTCTATATTATTATTACTTTTATACAATATATCCAAATAATTATCAATTATACAATGAAGATGAACATCACTATAAATCAATAATTAACTTTATCAAGACAAATTATAAGGAATATTTTATATGACAAAGATAAGGGAGGATAAGGTACAAAGACCTTCTATTTTGAATAATTTTATGCCAAATATTTGAAGACTATTATATGATTGAAAATTCATAATAAACATTTGAGAGACAATATTAACCCCTTAAGGACGGAGCCAAATGTACACGTTGTGAACAAAACAAAATGTAAACAAAACCTGGCATTTGCGCTACATGTCTGTCCAGCCGTAATACACCTCTTTCATAGTAAATGCACCCACCCTTATTATATATCATTTTATTCAGGGGAAACAGGGCTTTCATTTAATATCAAATATTTAGCTATGAAACATAATTTAATATGAAAAAAATGGGAGAAAATACGATTTTTTTGATTTTTTTAGTTCTAAATGACATTTTAAAGGTCAGTGTCATAATACTGTTTGCTTTTACTGCAATAAAATACACATATTTGTATTTAGTAAAGTCTCACGTGTAAGACAGTACCCCCTATGTACAGGTTTTATGGCGTTTTGGGAAGTTACAGGGTCAAATATAGCACGTTACATTTGAAATTGAAATTCGCCAGATTGGTTACGTTGCCTTTGAGACTGTATAGAAGCCCGGGAATGAAATTTACACCCATAATGGCATACCATTTGCAATAGTAGACAACCCAAGGTATTGCAAATGGGGTATGTCCAGTCTTTTTTAGTAGCCATTTGGTCACAAACACTGGCCAAAGTTAGCGTTAGTATTTGTTTGTGTGTGAAAAATGCAAAAACGCCAATTTTGGCCAGTGTTTGTGACTAAGTGGCTACTAAAAAAGACTGTACATACCCTGTTTGCAATACCTTGGGTTGTCTACTATTGCAAATGGTATGCCATCATAGGGGTAATTTTCATTCTTGGGCTACCATAGGGTCTCAAAGGCAACATAACCAATCTGGCAAATTTTAATGTGAAAAAAATGAAACGCAAGCCTTATATTTGACGCTGTAACTTTTGAAAACACCACAAAACCTGTACATGAGGGGTACTGTTGTACTCGGGAGACTTCAAAACAGTAAAAAGTATCACAGCAATAATATTGTCCGTGTAATGCTGTTTGTGCGTGAAAAATGCAAAAAACGTCACTTTTACTGGCGATATCATCGTTGTAATACATTTTACTGTTTTGAAACACTAATATTTGTGTTCAGCGAAGTCTCCTGAGTAGAACAGTACCCCCCATGTACAGGTTTTATGGTGTCTTGGAAAGTTATAGAGTTAAATATAGTGCTAGCAAATTAAATTCCCTTTACTTTCGGCATGGGTTGTCAGGCAGGTCCCGCTAATTGTAATTAATTAAGATATCTAATTATGTAAAAATATTACATAAATATATATGTAGAATTAATATATGTATATATATACGTATGTGTATATATATGTATATATCTATATAATTTTTTAAAAATATTTTTATTTATATATAGATATATATAGTGATATATACGTATATATTTATGTATATAGATATATATATTATTTCATTCTACGTGTATTTTGATATATATATATATATATATTAATTTCACAATACAATTAGAACGAAATAACACACATCTAAATATTTTTTAATTATTTTTAATTATTTTTTAATTTTATTTTTTAACGTATTTACATTTTAATTTTTTTTTATATTATATATAAATATATATATAACAATAATTATATATATATTTAATCAGTATCAGTCTACGTGTAATTTGATATTAATATATATATATATATATACTTATATATATTAATAGTAAAATACACCTAGACGGTGTACATGTGTGTATGTATATGTGTATATATATATATACTTAGATCATATATATATAATATATGTATATATGATCTAAGTATATATATATTTTTTTTACACTTTTAACTCATTTTAATTTTATTTTCAGCCAGCAGGGGGACCACCTGTCATTACAGGCAGCCCCCCTGCTGGCAATACAGAAGCCAGCTATCCCCGGCCATGTGATTGTGGGGTCCTCGCAAGGACCCCACTCTCACACGGCCGGGGGGCTTCGTGGAGGACAGACGTGCCGCGGGGGGCTCCCACCACAACCGCCGGCGACCGGGTAAGTACCGAAAGACCGGAGGGCGTACTATTACGCCCGGCGGCGTTTAGAGCCGCCTATAATAGGGCGTAATAGTACGCCCTCCGGTCTAAAGGGGTTAAAAACATGTGCTCAATAATGTGATAACCAGCACAGCCAACACAGATAACAATAATCTGTGAAAGTGATCTGTAAGACATAATAATAAGAATTAATTAAAACACTAAAAACAATAAGAAAAAAACTTAGACATAAATAAACGGATTGAGGTCATATTCTTGATTAAGTCCCCTAGGTGTTAGGGATCTGAATTCCCTGATCCAATATGCTTCTCTAAATAGTAATCTTTTTAATCGGTCCCCTCGTCTAGAGCTCTCTTCCACATGTTCAATAATTTGAAATTTAAGTTGAGTTATGTTATGTTTTGCTTCTATAAAATGCATTGGAATGGGCAATTCAAGCATTTTTGTTCTTATTGTAGATTTATGTTTCGAAAATCTTTCTTTCATTTTTTGTGTTGTTTGACCTACATAAATTAAACCACAAGAGCATTTTAAGATTAAACAACATGTGTCGTATCACATGTAACAAATTGTCTAATCATGTATTTATTGCCCCAATGGGGATGAGTAAATGTCGAGCCTTTAATCATAGAATTACAACAAATACAAGACATGGAAAATTTCCATTTCTTTTAGAATTTGGTTTTAATGGAGAAGATAATTCAGCTTTTACCAGCCTCTCAACGAAGAAGCCCGTTTGTGAACCATAAGGAGTTTATTTTCAAATTCCACAATATTTGGATGACATTTTGATAATATATGCCAATGTCTGTCTATTGTGCTTTTTAGATCAGAAGATAGTGTACTGTACCTAGAAATAATCTTGATTCTATCTTCTATTTTAACTTGTTTGGGTAAATTTGAGTCACATTTTTCTTCCCTATTATTCACATATTCTAATTGGGTTTGTAAAATGAATACAGGATATCCTCTCTCACAAAATCTCTTAGTCATAGATTTCAACTGTTGATCTACCAATTCAGTTTTAGAGACTGTGACGAAATGCCTTTTGTCACTAGATTTTTAGGTGACAAGTTGCCCTTTGCCCCTGGCTGTTGGAGGAGCCTGAGTGCCAGCCTCCTGCCTCATGACTAGGGCCCTGGGTTGTATGGCACCTTACAAACATTATTTGGGCTAATGGATTTATATTGTGCTGCTGCTGGCCCTTTAAGAACTGCATTGTAGTTTATGGACTTGTATTGGACCATGCTGGCCCTTTAAGAACCGTCTTGGGATATATTGAGACTTTGTGTGACAATGCCCCTTTAAGACTATGTCCCCAGACCGTTAAAATACTTTGTCTATGGCTTTCTCCCACTTGGTTCAGTAAATGGGACTTACTGAACCAGGTACCACACAGGCGGACCACCCAGAAGTGGAAGTGTGCAGGCAATTTACCTCCCAGGCTGGGAGCCTGCTGTAGATAAATTGCCGAACGCTGGGGGCGGCCATCTTTTTGTATTCAATGCGGTCAGCGGTATGTGTAGCCAAATCCATGGAACTAAAATCGGCTACACAGTTCCGCGAACACCGCTGAGCCTTACCTTCTCCCACAATGATTTTGCAGCCGCAGAGACTAAGTCCCATTCGGCGATGGGACTTAGTCATTTTTTCAGCCTGAAATAGACTGACCGCACAGCCCAAATCTATGGAACTGTTTTGGACATGAAAATGTGCTTGCGGTCGGTCATAAAGGGACCTCCAGCTAACTTTTTAACCCCTGGATGGATTTGGCTGAATTCTGGGTATGTTTATATTTAAAGTGTGCTGATTCTGAATATGTATGTGAATATGATGCATATTTTTAAAGTTACAGTGTATGTATAAAAAGTGTATTTTTCCTGCCTGTGATAAATTACATTAACCCATTGTGTTCAGTAATTATATCACAGGCAGAGGGGAGGGATTGTATTTTGGGGCTGGGTGTGTTTTACGGTTTTCCTGTAAATGATTGGTTGTACTGTGTCCCACCCTTTGGGATGTCCCCTTGCATGGGGACTTGCGTAAAAGCCAGTGTGTGGTCATTAAAAGATCAGATCATCTTGTACCTTCATGAAGTTTCAGCTCATGTTCGGGGGATTGGAGAACTACAATCTGGGGATTGCTATAATCACTATACTCCCCAGGGTATGATCACTAAGCTCTGCTAAGAGCTTGTTCCTGTTCCTGCTCTCTGGAATTTGGAGAGAGGTCAACCTACTGGAAGCTGGACCCTGGTCTTGGGTCCAGAGTGGGTGGAGACGGCGAGACCCCAACCAAGCTGCGGCGGTTCGTGGGGTCTGCCATGGTTATGATGCCGGGCAGAGTGCTTGGAGTCCTCGGAAAGCACTAGGAGCATCCGTCAGTGGAAGGTACCCGGTCGGGGTGCCAGCGGTTCCGTTACAGAGACTAACCTTTTAACCCTCATGAATTGACTCCTTGTTATGGATTTAAACATAGAAACGGGGTGGAAGCTGTCGTAGTGTAATAACGTATTCCTATCTAATGGTTTCCTATAAAGATTCGTCTCAAATGTTCTTAACAATCAAAATATCCAAAAAAGCAATGGAACACTGATCCATCTCCATAGTAAATTTTATGTTATCCGAGCAACTGTTTAGAAATTAAAATAATTCTTCGAGAGGTTCTAATGGGCCACACCACAATGCCAGCACATCATCGATGTAACGCCACCATTTTCCAATATATTTTTTATGCAATTTGTTCTGGTATATAAAATTTTCTTCCAATTTGGCCATATATATGCCAGCATATGTGGGGGCCACATTGGAACCCATCGAAGTGCCCTTAGTTTGAACGAAAAACTCATCTCTAAAAGAGAAGTAATTTTCCGTCATAACAAACTTGATATGTGAGATGATGATTGGAGAGACAATTAGTTTTGTTAATGTTTTTATTATTACTTATTGATGATGTTATTAAGTAATTATTGTATCACATGTTTTTTCACTTGTTAATTGCTACATACACCTATATATTGTGTGTTTTGTATGTGCTTCAGTAGCTTGACAAAGGCCCTAAGTTGTCGAAACGTTGCCTTTTGGTTCCTGGTTCTAATAAAATTGCCTTTGCTTTGGAATTCGTTGGAGTGCCTGGATTATTTTCTATATTCAGAATTCCATGTTTGGTCCTTCCTGGTACTGGGACTTATCCATTAGAGCACCCTGAATTCCATGACGAAGGGTTGAGTGCACTTCCACTATCTACATATGACCTTCATTTTTATACACTCATTCTCCATTAAAAAACATGCTTACATCGCTGTGGAATATGTTGGTGCAGGCAAAATAATTTCTTGCACCGAGGCCCTACCTGCGTTAGTTCCACCACTGGGATCTATGCACTACAACTGGTTCATTAAGCTAAAGTTGTTTTGATGCCTATAGTCTCCCTTTAGTTTTAATAATTTGAATTAAAAAATATTTTTAAATAATGTATATTTAATATATTGCTCTTTTTTGATACATTCTTTGGGCAGCATCTAAGGTCTAGGGACCAGTTAGTATATTTTGAATCTCGTGAAGTGTGGACTACTTAGCTGGGCAGAATGAAGAGTGAGGTTAGAATCTTTATGTTTAATGTTCAATGGTAAGACTATTGCAATAGGGCTAAAAACTAATATTTTAGCATTCACTTATAAAATAGCAAAGCTCTTGAAAACTCCATCTAGTGGTGACTATAGGAACCAAAATCTCTTACACACAGACTTTCTTTCTTCCACACACATTCAGAGTTATTTACTAAAGGGAGAATTCCAGTGGATTTCTAATTTAAGGCCAAGTAGCTGCACTGAAAGCATAGCTGATTTAGAGAATTTTTCCAATTTGGCTATGTTCACCTTAAATTTGAAGTTAACTTTGAATTCTCACTTTATAGAACAATCCTGATTATTGTAATTACCAGGAATACATCTGTTGAATGTTAAAGGGATACACCAGGCACCCAGACCACTTCTGCCCATTGGAGTGGTCTGGTTGCCAACTCCCACTACCCTTA